CAACTCCAAGGATGCATTGTGGGATGCAATGAAGGAAGCAGCAGCACATGTTTTGAAGGAAACAATAAACAATTTGACAAAAACAGTGGACAGCAGACTGTTGAAAGTCATCAGCAAACAGGGTGGCTATATTGACATGTGACATTTATTAGCATAAAATAGGATGCTCAGTGTAACTGTTTATTTTTCTGTTTGTTTAGTTTTGTTTTTGATATTTTTATTTTTTTTCAGAATGTGCAATCAAAATGATTTCTGCTTTACAATGACCTATAATCTGGAGAAAATAATAAAATATGACTGCACTGCACACTTGTTGCATAATATCTCTGGACAGTAGAAAACAAACGCTATGAAGAAATGACAACATTATAGTGATCTGAAGAAAATAATTGTTTGTTCTGAATTTCATTTGCAAATGGACATATAAAATATAATATTTGAAACCAATAACTTTACCAAAAGTGGTGTTTTACAATGGAATTTCAATTTTAACACTGAACTTTGCATTTGCATTATGAGTTTGGACACAGTGTACTGTTCTCAGGATACTACAGTCTTGACTACAACACTGAATGGAGCACAATGCAGTTTCAATACATTCTATAAACACATTTCTAAAAGGGTTTCACTTCAGCCATTTGACCCAGATTTACCTGTCGTTGTGTTGACCGACATGTCAGCATACTACATGAGTCTGTGGTGCTACAAGTGAAGGACAATCACAAGTTCCCCCTTGCATCACGAACTCTCTTTGGTAGAATGTAATTATACTCTGTGTGAGAGACAGAAGTCCTAGCCTACTATGAGCTTGTGAGAGATGGTTCCAATACCGGAACTTGTGGGGTCAGCACTTTGTGCTTCAAACTGATCACCAATCTCTCACCACATTGGGGATCAGGTTGTCAATTCATGCAAATTGCCCATTGGTCATCGCGTCACATAGAGCTCAATCGCAAAGGTGAGTCTCACACTGGAGTACACATGCAGTAGTGGATGCTACATGTATGTAGCAGCTCCCTGTTCCCTCTACAGGCTCCTTCAAGGACTGTGAAAATTATTGTTAATCATTTCTGGTAATGACACCAAGGATTCCTCAAAAGTGCCCTAGGCACTGTAGCTCAAAAGCCTGAAGAAATCTGTACAGAAGGTACAGTGGGAAGCAGTTACCGTTTTAGAAGAGGGAGGAAAACTCCAGAGGAATATTCTGCATACAACCCACACAAGTGTGTATTTGCCTGCAATTGGGGACCCCCAATTGTTCCTCTTTTGTTTGTACTTTAACTGTTTTAGAAGACCATCCATATGTTTTGTACAAAGTTGTCAATCGGGGACCCTCTGTCAATCGGGGACCTTATTGTCCTCTATTGTTCAGGGTCCCCAATTGAATGCAGAAACAAACTTATGGAATCAGGTAGGGACTGAAAACCCAATCCATAAGTGGACTGGGCCGAGATTCGAACCCAGACTGCAGTGGAAGACAAGGAAAGAACCACTACGCCAATCTGACTCCCCTGAGGTTGACTGTATCCTTGCTGACGAAGGATACAGTCATCAAGTCTGATTTCCAGAGCATGACACAGCAAGTCATGAACTTTGTGGTCAATTTGTTTACATTTGAAAACCCAGCTCTCGCTTTTGCTTGAAAACCGGTATCCCTGTTATCAAGCAAGCATTGGATATGCGCGTGATTACTGTTGTACTTAATCCCTTGCACAGGGCAATTTCCTGGAGCAAGCATTTGGCAGTGCTTAAAAGGACTGTCGCAAGGAACGTCTCATCCGCATCAAATGGAACACTCACGCCAGACCAAGGCAGTCCAAGTTATGACCCCACTTCATCTCTTCCACAAGTCAGGTAGCTGATTAAATACAGGACGTGCTTACAGCTGCCATTGCAGAAATCACTCAAAAGTCTAATGCATCTAGCTGGAGATCGTTCTATTAGTCATGACAACGACTTGTCACCAGTGTCTGTTGAAGAAATTCAGCATTTTTATATCAGTAGCAGGCTGTCTTTAAAAGGTTTACATGTATCTCCCCCTCTTCAAACACGTGCTTCATGTATGTATGTACAAAGGATTTTTTAACTTCAAAGTTAACAGAGGGTGCACATTGACTCCACCCGGGATGAAAAAAGATTTCCATTTCTCCCCCTATGTTGGAATGCGTCATAGATGCTTTAACTGATGTCTGTTCCTGCCACTTTGAAACAATAATTTTTTTGGCTGTCTTTCTGAGCACGCTTTTTGCATTTATGTTGGTTGACAAATTCATAATTAATTTTAGCCACAACTTCTAATAACACGGGTTATCACCAGCTCGCAAAGTTCGCGCTATATCACAACCATCCACGCACATGGGACTCTATCGGTACAAACGCTTGAACTTTGGAATCTCTTCAGTGAGCGAGATCTGCCAAGAGACAATGCGCAATGTCATTTCTGGCATTGATGGAGTGCGAAATATCAGCGATGGCATCATCTGCTATGGATGCGAACCAAATACACAGCGCGACCACGATATTGCACTTGATGCCTGAAATGCCTGAACAACCACGGACTTACGGTCAATTGGGACAAGTGTGAATTCAACCAAAGCTTGATCAAGTTCTTCGGACTTGTCTTTACACAAGATGGTGTCTCACCCGATTCAGACAAATTTGCTGCAATACACAAGATGCCACCACCAACAAACATGCAGGCACTTTGTAGTTTCCTCAGGATGACAAACTACAGCGCCCGGTTTGTACGCAACTGTGCCATGATCACAACACCCCTACGAAGACTTACCAAGAAAGAGACACCATGGGTCTTGTCTCCAGAACAACTGAATGCCTTTGATATGCTGAAGAATTATCTGTTTGAGGATGCAAACACTGCATACTTCGGTATCCACTAGGACATTCAAGTCGTAGCGGATGATAGCCCTGTTGGCCTGGGGCAAAACTTACACAGGAGGGACGAGTTGTTGCTTATGCGAGCCATGCCTTGATGCCCGTTGAATCCCTGTATAGCCATACAGAGCTTGAAGCCCTTGCCATTGTATGTGCATGTGAACATTTTGACATGTACCTTCATGGGACCCCACACTTTGTGGTAACCACTTACCACAAGCCCCTTGTGACCATCTGGCAAAAGCCATGCCCTCCACTACGCATTAAGAGGTGGGGTCTCTGACTCCAACCATACAAATTCACCATCCAGTACGGTCCTGGCGATGCAAACCCAGCAGATTACATATTGGGCGAGTGGATTGCCCGATGTCCAACAATGGTACTCGCGAACAGAAAATCGCAGAGCAATATGTCAACTTTGCGGTGACAACATCAGTTCCATGTGCAACGAGCATTGCCAATGTCAAGCAGCGACTTCATGTGATCCTACATTGCTGAGGTACAGTGACCATTTAGATCCGGTAAGGGAAGGGGCCCCCGGTAAGCTAGTCCGGTGGCAAAAACACCTCCCATACCGTACCAGCTACCGGACTTGGAGACTGGTCTAGTGGTTGATCAAACACTCATCCATCCTAGAGTCTATTATTTGTTGTTTGACTGGCACAATCTAACCTGGAAGAAACCCCTTTCACGTTTTTTGCACTCAACACTAAGCAATAGGAACCCTTGTAAAGCATTCAAAAAAAGCCCACATGGTTTTTCATACAATGGAACCATACACTGCCCAAGTGTTGACCAGGAGCGTAACAATAGAGCCACCCTCACCGGCACATCAAAGTCCCTGCCATGCGGTTTTGCAAACAATGTCCCCTCAAACTACCAAATTTGCTGATACTTTGCTAGCCCTGCGACTTTTATGCATGTACCCCTTTGTTTGATATATTTGCTTGTGAGCTATATTCTTCTGGTTTTAACAACCTCTGAATGAAAAATGACGTCTGTCACTGAAAAAAAATTCTGTCAAAAACCTTTGAAACCCTGAGGTAACTTTGCCATTCCCAGATAAACCTTTCAGCTTTATTTCCAATTCCATCTTTTAGTTTCATCCAAATGCATTTTTCACCGAAAATACATGAACATGTACTCAAATTATCTTGAGGATTGTGTGATTAAGGGTCGGGATCAAAAATACAGAGACCGTTTGCACGCGTCTGCACGCGTTCCCTTCCGTTCTGCACGCCTTCCCGTTCACCCCGTTCCGAAGAGCACTTCGGAATGCGTTCCTGCCGG